AATCCTAACAAAAACAATAAGGTTCCATAGCACTACGTGCTTTGGACTAATAATAATAATCCTAACAAAAACAATAAGGTTCCATAGCACTACGTGCTTTGGACCCTTAATAATAATCTTAACAAAAACAATAAGGTTCCATAGCACTACGTGCTTTGGACCCTTAATAAAAGAGAAAAATCCTAAGAAAAACAATAATGGTCCATAAGGACTTCGTCCTTTGGACCCTTAATTAGTGCATCTCGAGCGCATACCTGTTACAATAAAGTGTTGTGCACCTGCATGTTTCTAAAACACGCCGCTTAAATACCGTTTAATAATGCGCCACTGACTTTACACGTGTTTTTTTGCTGCCTTAAAATCATTTGCTGTTTTGATGATTTTGATGTGTGAAAATGAGTAATGCGCTGGTACGAAACTATCAAAACCGTCGCACTTCCCACAGGTGGAAAATAGGGCCCACGGTAACACTTATAGGCTTTTCATACCAGGGCCGGTGAAAGCTCATTTTTCTGGCCCTGAAAGACTGCTGGGCCAGAGCTGGGAGCGCGTGACGTCAGGAGGTGTGGTTAGAGTCGTCAAAGCAGAAAGCAAAGCTATACAATGCAATGCACAGTGAACTGGAGAAGTCTGGAGTTATCAGAATAACGGAGCAAGCCGTGAATAAGATTTTAAAAATGAAAAAGAATACAGTAAGTTGAAAAGAGAGCAAAATAAAAACAGTGCTGGCTGCCCTAAAAACAAATAGACTCCGTGTTTGGAAACACCTGCTAGGTGACTGGAGCATTGAACTCTGTGACCGCTTTGGAGGAATCAGGTTTGTTGTTATTGTTCTGTTTACTTGTATAGTAATATGACTATAAAATTTTATTACGTTTGGTGAATGTCTTTGATTTTGCGAAAGGTCAGGGGCTGCTGGTCGCTTGATCCTGGTTCCAGGAATCCTGAGTCATATCAGTAGACCTGGTACTCCAGTTCTGGTGGTGCGGCGAAGGATACCGATCACATCATTGTGGGCAGACGCTGAAGGCTCCTACAGAGCTGCAGGGTTTACAGAAGTGCCCAGTTTGTGAATTCTGACCGCAGACTTGTTGTTGCTACTCTGAAGATTCAGATTCAGTAGGTGGTAGCCTACTAGGAGAACGAGGCTGGACTTAGCCAGACTCCAAGATCAAGTTGTTTCTGATGAGTTTGGATGCAGTTTGTGTGAGGAACTTGCAGACTTGGGTGCGAGTGCTGACTCTAATGTGATGTGGGAGACCTTCCGTGATAAGACCCTGAAGTTGCTGAGGGTTGTGTTGGTGCTGCCGGGGTTCCCAGAAGGAGGTGTTTCATCTTGCAGGGCACCCTGGATATTATCGAGAGGAGTCACAGCACACGACTTGATGGCAAATCCAGTCTCCAGTTCTTGGGAACTGAGAAGGACGGCTGTGAAGGGGCTCTGAGGGCAGATAAGGAGGTGTTTGTTAGATGAATCTGTGAGCAGGTGACACACCATCTGTGGTCTAGTGACCCACGTCCTGCTTACAGTGGAATCAAAGCATTATGCACATCTGAGTTTGTTCCTCTAAGACAGGGGTCTCCAACTCCGGTCCTGGAGAGCTACCATCCAGTAGGTTTTCTATCCTACCCGGCTTCTGATGAGCCACACCTGTTCTCAGGTAAATACCAGGAACAGGTGTGGCTCATCAGAAGCCAAGTGGGACAGAAAACCTACTGGATAGTAGCTCTCCAGGACCGGAGTTGGAGACCCCTGCTCTAAGACTTGCAGTGGGTGATGGAATGGTCTTTACGGATGACATGCAGTTGTGACCTGCTAGGCTGGCTACTTTGAGCAGTTGTTTAAAGCTGACCCTCCAGCTAGGATGTTGGACATTTCTGGGTCCACAGTTCTTGAAGCTGATCCTCTGATCAGCTGTGAACCACCTAATCTCACTGAGATTGCATGGGTGGAGAATCAGCTGGGGGTAGGAAAGGCCGCAGGGATCTGTGCTATCCGGGGTGAACTTCTCCAGGCTGGTGGTAAGGCTGTCCTCCTTGCATTGCAGGTAATCTTTGCTTCCATTTGAGAGTCAGGTGTCATCCCAACTGACTGGAAAATGGGACTTACAGTCCCTATCTGGAAAGGGAAGGGTGATTGCCTGGATTGCGGCAACGACAGGGGGATAACACTACTTTCAGTGCCGGGTAAGGTCCTTGCTAGGGTCATCCTTAACAGGATCCGTGTTCACTTGCTTGCCTGTCAGCAGCCGCAGCAGTCTGGTTTTATGCCTAAGTAGTCTACCATCAACCGTATCTTGGCATTTCGGGTTCTCATTGAGCACAAGCGTAAATATTGCCATTGGTTCTTTGTAGCCTTTGTCGATTTTGACTCACGAGCAGGGTTGTGTGGTCCAGCAGCTGTGGGGTTAGTGAATAAAGATTTACTGATCTTGACTTTGGCGACAATGCGGTGATCTTAGCGGAGTCAATGGAGGCTCTGAACGGGGCTCTTGAGAGACTGAGTGAGGAGTTTGAGTGTCTGGGACTGTGAGTGTCCTGGATAAAGACTAAGATCCAGGCATTCAATGACTTCTTAGGTACAGCAATCAGTAGTGTGTCTGTCTGCGGGGATAATGTTAACCTCGTCGAGAGATTTACTTACCTCGGCAGCGACATTCATGTCTCTGGTGACTCTTCCTATGAAGTCAGCAGATGGATTAGAAGAGCATGGGGGCTTATGAGGTGCCTGGAAAGGGGTGTGTGACGCTCCCGATATCTTTGCAAGAGGACAAAGGCCCAAGTCTTTAGAGTCCTGGTGCTCCCTGTCTTGCTGTATGGCTGTGAGACATGGATGCTATCCAGTGAGCTAAGACGAAGACTGGACTCCTTTGGTACCGTGTCTCTTCTGAGAATCCTTGGCAACCAGATAGAGGAGTCCCAAATAAGGCACATTACCTGCATTGTGAGGAAGCATCAGTTACGGCACTACGGCCATATGGCACGTTTCCCTGAGGGTGATCTGGCTCACAGGATCCTCATTGCTGAAGACTCAAGCAGCTGGACCAGGCTAAGGGGATGCCCATTTAACACCTGGCTGAGGCAGCTGGATGGCCATTTCCGGAGGGTGGGACTGGACTGTCTGTCTGCCTGGGGGACTGCTGACCGGGATCCCGAGGAGTTTCTCCATGTGGTGGATGAGGCATTGCGCTGCTCCCCAACCTGACCTAACCTGACCTGGTGTATGTCGGATGCTTTCCAAGGATCTGTCAAACAAAATAGCATACTGTTAAACATTTGGTTGTGTTTTGTGTGTGAGTTATGACAGGGCTGCATCATTTTCAAGCATTTTTATACAGCTAACCTGTTTTTTGTAACAACCTAGCTAACTAGTAAGTTACCATTAGAATTTGACTTCGATGTACCAGCCAATGATACATAAGGTACAGTTACCTGCTTTGTTACAGAAAAGAAAATAACACTTACACGCTGTCTTGCTTGAAATGTCAGTAATTTAAGTGAAATATACCTGTCTCTTTCGTGTGCTTGTTTTAACACAGGTGAAGAAAATGTAGATGGACAGGAGCATCACTTCTTATATTTATTTATTCCACGTGATAGGATTTACATACTTCTTGATTATCTGTGTATTTGTAATATAAAAGTTTACCAAAATGTTATGTTGTTTTCTTGTCTTCACTCTCCCTAGTAAAGTAGTCCATTAATACATATTGCATATCCCTGGAAGGCATCCGAAATCCACCAAACGTAATTAAAGTGACATTAAAGTCACATTACAAGTAATCACAACATTAACAACTTTATGAATTCCTGCAAAGCGGTCACGGAGTTCAATGCTCCAGTCACCTGTTGTTTACAACTTGCTCCGTTATTCTGATAACTCCTGCCTTCTCCAATTCCCTCTGCATTGCTTCGCAAACTTTTGCTTTCCGCTTTGACGACTCTACCCCTGCCTCCTGACGTCATGTGTTCCTATCTCTGGCCAGGCAGTCTTTTGGGGCCAAAAAATGAGCTCCTGCCCAGATATATCAGCCCCACACTGCTGTTATTTTTGGTGTGAATGCAACGCCTGGAATTTATGCTCAACCAGGCCACTAGCCCTGGTGATGAAAGTGCCAACTGTAGTTTGCATGGTGGCTCAGTGGGTAACACTGGCACCTCACAGCTCCCAGCTTGGGCTCTGTGTAGTTTGCGTGGTGACTCGGTGGGTGACACTAGCACCTCACACCTCCAGGCTTGGGCTCTGTGTAGTTTGCGTGGTGACTCGGTGGGTGACACTGGCACCTCACACCCCCCGGCTTGGGCTCTGTGTAGTTTGCGTGGTGACTCGGTGGGTGACACTGGCACCTCACACCCTCCGGCTTGGGCTCTGTGTAGTTTACATGCTCTCACCATGTTTCCCCAGATACTCCGGTTTCCTCTAAGTCCCAAAACATGAGGATAGGCCAACCAGCATCTGTAAATTCCCCATCATATGTAAACATGTGTTTGCTCTGTGATAGACTGGCATCCTGCCCAGGGTGTCCCCTGCCTTGTGTCCTGTGCTTCCTGTGACAGGTGCCAGGATCACCACAATGGATGGATGAATGGATATTTTTTCACTTTTTCTTTTTTACTTTTTTTTACTTTTTATATACTGTAGTCTACTACAGACCTACAGATGGCGCAGCCACGTCCAGACGCCTTCCTGACCGCTCCGCACAGACAGCTCTTTTGTAGTTTTATATTTATTTATCGTTTGGTTTCATGCTCCAAACTTAGCTGGTTTAATAGTTTATGATAGCAGAACGCTTTTCAACATTGGAAATAACTTTGCACACTTAATCCCGGACACTTTTAATCCCGAACCGTCGTGGCCGACTGAGATACTGCGCGACTCCAACAACAACAACGGACGCGACGCTCGCCCGGGGCGCAGAACAAAGAAACGCCGGGGGACACGTGCTGGCGTCCGTAACAGGCTGAGACAACAAGCGCACCGTGCACCACTGCCCAGTATCCTGCTGGCTAACGTACAGTCACTAGAGAACAAGCTGGACGACCTAAGGGCCAGAGTTACTTTCCAACGAGACATGAGGGACTGCAACATTCTGTGCCTC